ATACACCATAAATCGACCATATACCAGCGAAATTCCGCAGTATCACCCCTCGTTCCTCCCCCCTCATATCTACCCCCCCAAAACCCCCATCGGATGCGGAAATCGAGTGTCTGGGGTGTCAGTTGAAGCAACATTTAGTTTCATTGCACGCGGACTGTAACATTGTTTTCTTTGTTAAACTTCACAGACGTGAAGCCGCATTGAAAGCGCCTCGTCCGAACTAGCGCTGTTTAGTTTATGTTTAAATTATTATCAGTACATTATATTAGTATGACAGTGTATTTTTTTAAACGGTGAATATACCTACATTGCACAAACATTTTGTATGGAAAAAAAAATCGAAATAAATTCAGGTAGCGCAGTCTTAAATGCTTTGCTTTGCAGACCTTTGGAAAAAGAGGAATAACAGAATTTTGAAATATCAACTCCCCAAAAAAAACATAAGCCAAATAAGTTTGCAAAACATATATACCTATCAGAAAAACGAGAGAAATTGCGAATAGTAAAAAATATTTTCTGTTGATAACTAAAGTGAGAACATCTGTATGCAGCACAACTCAATAATAGTAGATACTAAACGTGCAACTAATATCTCCATACTAAAAATAACATAAGAGCATCAAAGTGTGTGTATGCAACTTTATTTTTAGGTGATTTCTGAAAGTCCCTTTTCTTATAAAATTTCAACACGGAAATAGATTGCTGTACGGAGACATATAATCTTCTACATATATTGTTGTAAATGAATCCAATCCCATGACCCCATGGGATTCGGTTTAGAATATTTAGATAAAAATAGTAGGTACCAATATTATAAATAAGAAAATTTGTGTATGTGTGTTTGTTTTGTACGCTGAAACGGCTGAACAGATTTAGATGAAATTAAGTATACAGATAGTCTATGACCTGGAGTAACACATAGGCTAGGTTATATCAGGTACCTAGGAATGCAAATGAGTGAAACGAGAGTAAATCGTTAGTCTTATTCTATTAATGCGGAAACTACTTGTACTATGTAACATATCTACGCGGTCACGGGTAATGACTGGTTTATATACATACATACATACATACATACATACATACATACATACATACATACACTAATCCTATAATCTTAGAAAGATATTATACTTCATTACGTACCTATATAGGTTTATGTTTACGGAATGCAGAAGCTCACGATCGTCCATTGTTGGAAGCGAATTGTTCATGGGTATTGTTAAAGGTGTCAGTAGAGACGTTCATACATACATACATACATACATACATGCGGTGTATAGTTATACTATACAGTGATAAAATACTAATTTTAATATACTTCAAATGAAAAATCGTCTTCATTTTCTTCGAAACCAACAAAATATAAAATTTATTTCAAAAATTTTAAACAAATTACACTACTTTACATAAAATACATTCACAAATGACACGTTTAAATAGCTTGATAATTATTTTTAATGTTTCTCTATTTATATTTGAAACGATCATATTCACGTTTATCGCAAAAAAATATACTTAGTTATCATTATTCAAACAATTTACTTCAAGCAAATCCTTACGAATAAAAATGCGACAAAGTTAAATAAAAATAATACGCACTGGCGTACAATTTTATTAAGCAAGACACTGACCTACGATCGTAATATTATATTTTCAATCAAAATTTAAAGCGCTTTGCTTATTTTGATAACAACTTGTCGAATGTATAGATATATTTATCGATCGCGCTTTCTTCTGCAACTTTTTTTATTTAAATTTTATACCCGAAGTACGTACTTTAGGAATGGAGTTAAAAAAAACAATCTTAGCATATGTACTCATTATAGAGACAGATGAGAATAGATTTTAGCCTGCGATCTAGGCTTCACTGAATGAGTCAGGAAAATCCACTTTATATAAACACTAAATAAAAATGAGAACATACCTGTCACACCTAGATTATAACAAATCAGAAAAACAATTTCAAACAAAAATAACCTACAAACAAAACAAATCAAAATAAAACACTTAAACCAAAAACAGCTAAACAAAACATAATAAAACAAATCGCAATAAAACTTAGAAATCGCGAAAAAAATTTCACGCAATGTCACGTCTCGTATCGCGTCTGAAACTCAACTGAAATACGAAACAGTGTCTCATTCCGCACGACCAAATAACAAAACCCCTCACGCTCATACAATTTCATCGTTCGATGAGTTCTTTTAACAATGGTTTTAGCTAAACCCCTGCATTGACCGTCGCTATCGTTGTACTAGAGGTCAAAATACTTTGGCTGCGCTTCTCTTATAATATATACTACTATAAGCCTTATTCTCAAACCATAAGACTGAATTTCGTGTAACAAAATATAAGTGACACCTCCCATCGTATATTTAGAGTTAGCGCAGAGATCCCTATAAATTGGTGCTCTAATAAGGTACGGGAATGCAATTATAGGTTTTCGATATGCTAATATAATATAAACTTTAAAACTATTAAGGTAAGGTAGAAATTTGTATAAATTATACTATAAGACAATAAGTCTGACAAATAAAAATAAACCCTACCGAGTAAATAATAAAGTTTTAATTTAAAAATTCGAAAGAATTAATATACCAATATACATATAGATTAACGTTAGACAAATATGCATTTTATGTTTTAGCGGATAAGGTAGAAAATCAGTAAAAGAATTTTAGGTCCTTCTGAAGTCTAGGTACATACGAATTAATTTTGATCATAGTGCGAATGGGAGCAATTAGCTATACTTGGTGCATATTTCAATTACAAAAATTCAATACAATATGAAATTATAATACAGTTTTATGCATTTTGTGGAAAAAAGAAGTGAGAACACACTGACATATCTCTCTGCTTTTATCCAAGTTCGAAAAACAAGTTTTTCATGATTATACATATCTGACTGATAACAAATTTTTTTACCATTTCTGGGCATCAAACCTATGACATACACTAGCCACTATTAAAAAACCATTAAAATATTTATTAGAAATTATAAAGTAACAAATTTCACGCCGGAAACGGAAGCAATAATACAAATATGTCTTCAGATATATTCTCGAACGGCTTTAAATCAGACAAAAAAAATGCTATTTATTAAAGATATTTGAATTTTTTGGCAACATAATATATTTTTTACATTCACTCAATTTCCTCATCTCCCGCGATCGTATTTAAATGATACATGTCCCGGATATTTTTGACATAAGTAAAATTTCGCTACTTTAGTGGAACAGCAATGGTGTTTTTTTTATTTAAAAATCAATGTTATTATTGAGTGTATAGTTTATAAATTACTCTAAAAACACTTTCACTGCATCGTTTTACCCGACTACGACAAAGCTATAACTGAGGGATATGTATTTGGCATGTAATGTAAGACTCAATATTTTGAGACATTAACACACAGCACCATCTAGTTCCATGGTAAGCTACAATGCCTGTGTTATGGATACTAGATAATTAATACACTACACATATATAACTTTGAATATAAACTTTAAAACTCTACATATCATAAATATAAACACCCATGACTGGAGTACAAACATTCGTGCTCATCACACAAATAAACGCCCCCAGCGGGACTCGAATCCGCGACCGATGGCACAGCAGTAGAGTCACTACAAACTGAGCCAAACGTGTCGTCAAAGTCAATGTATCGTCGCTGAGCATATAATTAAACAATGTTCCTACGCCAGCTTGTTTCTATCTTTTTAGTTCGCATTTTATGTAGTCGATCTTTTATTTGTTGTTTTTTAATTTCATTTATGTCTCAATTTTTTTGCGTATTATAAGGGAGCAGAACCGCGAGAAAATGCTAGTAAGTAAAAAATTAGCAATTTAGTTATCTTACTCAGCAACTACACAAGTTACAGTCCGCACAAAAAAAAGAATAATTTTCTTAAAATATGTAACGTATCCCCATTTAAATGACACGACATTTACGGACATTATGAAAACAAACTAAATTTCCCGCCACCCGGCCGCACGCATCGAGAGTAACCCGTTTACATTTCATTTATTAATATCAAATTTGTCAACAAGAACTGTTTTTACGAACTATTTATTGATATTTTACAACTTATTCTAATATTAAAGATATATAGCTACAGGTATGTATATAGATAAAATTAAAATATCCGTCCGTTATACAAATGTACATAAAGCGTATATTTTCTAAAACAGGTCCAATCCAAATTCTGCGAATTGAATCGTAAATGTTAAAAACAGGTAAAATAGCTTCTTTTTTACTTCTTAAAATTCTATGTTTCAGCAATGATAAGAATTTAACTACATTTTAAAAATAAAATAAAGATTTCAAATCTATCATCAATATATAAAACTTTATAACTAATTACTATCAGACGTATGTATGTGTCTTAACTTGATATGTCATATAAAGTTTTGTCATAAACTGTATGTTTTGTTTAATTTGCCACCCAGCGGCGCGTAGCAAAAGCTTAACTCAAACATTTTCCTAACACTAAATTCCACTAGATGGCTCTGTTACTATATTTCAAACCAAAATACCCATGAAAAATGAAAAAAAAAACCTTAGAAAAAAATACAAAGACGAATAATATCACAAACACAAAAACAGGACGACTATAGACTAATCGCATAACATACGAAACTATTTTGGGAAACCTTTGGGATCCCAGTACACGTTTGAATCTGTTTTTCTTAGTGTATACGAAGGATATTGCGATTATATAATAATTAATAATGTCTTCCCGACACTTTTACACTCTGGTAGGACGACGATTCAACACTCGCGGTGAGAAATCACGTGGAGAACCGACGCGACACGTGCTTTCCAAGGCACGGAGGTGAAACACCACCAACTTCTAAACTCCGGGATGATACTAGGACTTTCTTAATAGAAACTTGGTCCGACCCAGGACATGAACCTAGGACCCTCCAGATCTGCAGCCGTACATGCTAGCCACTTGACCATTATCGATGTAACTAGTAAAGAAAATATAACTCACTGGTTGGGATGTGCTGTCAGTCGGTTGGGATCGGACGCGTTGCGATGTTTGCCTCGTCTCGGCGCGTCCCGCTCCCTGCAACTCTCCGCACGGTTGACTCCTCTAGCGCCGCCTTTCCAACTGAGAAGTTGACTAAAATTACTTACATGTTATATGATATCATAATTATATTTTAACACCTCCAGGTAAATTTCCAAAAAAATAATTAAAATTCCAAGAAATCTATTGTTAACTGTAACGCCGGCGTGTCCGCGGTCGTGGAGGGATTAATATAAAAGGTACTTATTTTTACCTTATAAGGTGTTATAACTACATATGTGTCTTTATGTGCCATGAATAACATAAAGGGGTCACTAATTACATAATCAATTCAAAATTGTTCAAATATTAGTATATGAGATTACTCTGAGGGATTTAATTTGAGAAAAGACCATGAATATCGGATCATAATCTAAAATATTGTATAATACACACACATAAAAATGTACATAACCATCTACTCTTTTTTTGAACGTAGTTTAAAATAAAAGTTGATATCAGTCCATCCGTTTTAGAGTTACAACGCCTAAACAGATGAAGGTGCCAATTTTAAACGCAAATATTTTTTGAACCTCAGGGCTTGGTTACGTAAACGTAGTCTATGTTATTATGAATTCCAAAAAAATGTATATATTATTATAACCCTGAAAAAATATAAATATCTAAAAGATTTCATTTTATCTTTGAATTCTAACTGACACTTACTAATCTAAGCAACTTTTTTTTACTTTTAATAATGAAAATATAAATAATAACAATAATTAAAAGAACCATATTCATTAAAATACTATTCAATTAGATGAAATATTTAAAAATAAAAACTGCACATGTACTGTATATAAAAACGCCATCTAGCGTCGAGTAGATGGACTATTCTCCTCGACTCATCCCAGTACTTAGTACCAAAAAATAATGACAAACAGACATAAAGCTACTAAAATAGATTACTTTACTAACACAAAAGGATATGAATCGTAAGGATTTCCAAAAGAACCTTTTTTAAAATAAACTTTTCAGCGCCATCTAACTGAAAGCTAGGGTAAGTTTACTTCGTATGCCCGAAGATAGATGGCTGTAGAGGTTTGGTTGATGGGCTAGCTTCGGGACAACTGCGCCCCCTATCTCTTCATCTTGCCATATAAGTCTCTTAAAATTTTGTATTTTTTTTATTAAATGATATCCATTTATATAATAAAACGCGAAATTACAAAACTAGATTTTACAATACAAATTACATCCTTCTGAAAGAGAGGGTAAGTTTTACTTTATCAAGCAGACTACTTGAAATTATAATCTTTGATACAAATATTTCGGTAAGAAAAGTCTTGACCAGAACTAACAAAAGAAACTCAGCGGAATTTGTAATTTTTTTTTAAATATAAGTTTATCTGATGAAAACATTACTAATTTCATTCCGAAACACATTATAATCATAACATTATTCTTTTATAATACAGCTACAGTGAACTCACCTTTGTTCCTTCTCAGGCTCCTTGAGCGTGTTATCGTTGGTGTCGACATCTACATCTGGAGCGGACTGCTCTTCCGTAGATCCTTCTCTTCTCGATTCTCCTGCAAAAAAAGAAGAAAAAAGAACACAATTATTAATCATTCTATTAAATATAATATAAATTATATGTATCTAATATCTATATAAATTCTAAAACATATGACTCGTAAGTCGTAACTATAACAATATCTTCTACTGTTTGAAAACTTAAGTTACACATGGAACCATTTTCAAATGAAATATCTAGCTATATCTAAGCTACAACATAATATAAAACCCTACTATATAATACTTCTGACCTACAGGTATTTAAAAAATATTTAACTGTATCTAGAGCTTATAGGAACAAACATTCAACAGAAAGAGCTTTACAGTTCAAGCCACAAATTTTCCATTTCAAACTAATTTGCATATTATGTCACTTAGCTATATATAATAGTCACTAAAATAATTAATCATTTACAAAGTATTCAATGTCGTACGGTTAATTCTGGCGGAAATAAACCAACCTCGTTGAATGACGCATTGGCCGCTTCATCCTGTTAAAGGATAACAGCGCGCGTTTGAAACTTAATCAGAATTAAAGCTATAAAATATGATATTACATTGCCAATGTGATGAAAATGAAATGATTATTATATTTAGATAACATGTTATTTAAATATTTATAAAATTACAAACAGGTAGCGCCATCCGCTATTCAAAATTTGTCAAAACAAGATTTATCACTAACAGTAGCCTATTTGTTACTTCACAGTCTATCTGTGTACCAAATTTCATCTCAATAGGTCCAGCCGTTGCAGCATGAAGTAATAAACGCACGCAAACTTTCGCATTTATCATTATTATATTTACATGACATGTTTGGCTCAGTTTTTAGTGACCCTTGCTATGCTAGCGGTCTCGGGTTCGAATCCCGCTGGGGGCATTCATTTGTGTGATGAGCACGTATGTTTGTACTCCAGTCATGGGTGTATTTATAATATAATAGTACTTACTATCTATGTACGCGTATTTAAAGTTATATATGTGTAGTGTATCAACTATCTGGTATCCATAACACAAGCCTCGTAGCTTACCATGGAACTAGATGGTGTTGTGTCTTAATGTCCCATCATATTTTATATTTATTATTATATTGATGGGACTATAACAGTTTTTGTCGCAATTCCACCACATTAGGTACAGCAATTAACAATATAACAACTTAAGTAGATTTAGTTACATTATAAAGACATATAACGCGAAGATGTCAGTGCGTGGGTACGTTTATTGAACAATAGCTTTCGACTTATGGGAAACTAGCGCAGACCTCTCTTGAGAACTTCTAAGAAACTTTATCTATTTGCTATTCATCACGTTTGCATTAATTAATTATGTCGTATCTATTATTCTACAGCCATTTAGTTAAGTAAACTAAACACCTATCCCTGTATCAGAGGTCGCGGGCTCGAATCTCGCTCGAGACAAAAATTGTACTTTTTCATATCACATTGACATACAAAATTAAATATCACAAAAGATAAGGGATGTGGCAGTTTGTATTGTAGAACTATAAATAAGTACCATATATCTACATCTACTATTAGGTACTATAGGCCCTTACGTCGATTACAGATAATTTAGAATTTATTAAAATTATTTCACTAACAGCTACATATTTCCGAGTACATAGTTTTTATTCCGATATAAATGTGTTCGCTGTTAGAAATTTAATTAAAGACAAAAAAACTATCTGTTGTGTTGCGTGCGCTACCTAAATGGTTTGAAATAAAGTGATCAAATGTATTGCCAAAAAAAACCACCGCACAAAACTAAGATCAGTCGCGAATCTTACTAATCCGTTTTTTTTATATTATAATATATTATGTGAAAGTTTGTGAGTATGGATGGATGTTGGTTACTCATTCACGCCAGAACGGCTGAACGGATCTGGATGAAACTTTTTATCCCGAAAAAATGTACGGTTCCCGTGGGATAAGTTAGTTTTGATTTCCGAGTGAAGCGAGGGTGACCTGCTACTGTAATAAATATGAAAGTTTAGATGGGTGTTTGGATGTTTGTTACTCACGTCGCAACGATTGAACAAATCTGGATGAAATTTGGCATAGAGATAGATTATAGTCTGAAATAACACATAGGCTACTTATTATCCCGGAAAAATATACGGCTCCCGTGGGATAGATTTGTTTATGTTTTTCTAGAGGCGAACCGGAGCGACGCGAGAGTGAACCGCTAGTTTTAAATAAACCAACTAAGATGAAAATCTAATTTGTATCATTATCTGTAGATCAGTAACAGATACTCAAAAACGAGAAATATATCTAAAAAAATCGTTTCTTTTTGTATTTTATCAAATAACCATATATGCATGTAGGTATATGTACATTGTACATGTTATATTTTCTTGTCACTATGGATCCTTCACATGCGAAACAGTTAGTACGTAGTTGTGCGTATAATTGAAACTGCGCACGAGTGAGATCATCGCTCAGTATACCTACTCATTAACTGCAATATACTTGCGAAATCTCCATTTTTCTCTATAAAATCCTACCTATTAGGTAATTTCAACGCCAATTCTCAACGCTCGCCATAAACCTTAACTAACGTATGTGGAATTTCATAGTTTAATATCCAATTACTTTTATTTGCCATTAAATAAAAACATCAAACAAAAACTATGCATAGATTAGAACACACTAACGAACTAAAAAGACTGGATAGGTTAGTAAAGATCTTAATCTGTATATTAATATTTAGAAATCGCTAATGTCAACCGTCAATACCTCACAGTTATATTATTACAAGTTACGAAATATCTATACCCACAAATAATACAGATAAATAAAATTAAAGTGTCTGTTTGTAATGTCAAAATAACAGCTTTTTACTAAATGCATATGAAATTATATACGGTACTTATAAACACACATTTTTTAAATTTTTGTATATTTGTACCGGCTAATCTCCAAAACGTCTGGACTGATTTCGACAGGAATTTCACTGGCAGATAGCTGATGTTATAAGTAGTTAGGCAAGTAGGGTTGCACCCGACTGAACTGAGGGTTTGTCACCAGTATATGTGTATATCGATGTATGCGCACGCGCCGTTAAACCATTGTATCGCTTTGAATACCTATTAGTTCTCGGTACCGACGTGATCATATTGAATGATTGTGATGAGGCAGACATCAATATATGGGTTAGGAATTAATTAGCTGGAATTTATCATTAACTGTCTTTTATTTTTAACAAAACGAGCTAGAACTGTCAAGAACAACAAAAGCTATACAATATAACTAGCACTGTGTAAAATATGTATACTTTAGTTTGAATTTAAACACTTTACATATAATAAAATGGTTTATCTATACAAATAAATAAAATTGAAGTGTCTGTTGTCATGTCGAATAACAGCTTTTTACTAAACGCATATGAAAGTATATGTATAATAAGGTTCTTTAAAGAAAAAAAAAATTTTTTGTATGTCTGTCTGTTTGTGACGGCTAATCTCCGAAACGGCTGGACCAATTTTGACGGTACTTTCAATGGCATATAGCTGTTATAAGGAGTAACTTAGGCTATTTTTATTTCAAAAAAAGCATCAAGGTTTTGCGCAAAACAATTAAACCCCATAAAATTGTGAACTAAATCCGCGCACCTAGGGACGCACCCAGGACAGAGTAAGTCATTTACTATAAATCTTTGTTTGCCGAATATCTATAAAAAAATCTTCAAGTAAATTTAAGAACACATGCAATAAACCAATATCTTCAAGAATAACATAGTTAAAATACTTTTAACATACAAACAAATTAGAACTAACGTTGATCCTAAAAGTGATTTTTTATAACAGTTTCAGCAAAAACATTCCCATGTAACGATTCAACAGTATTCTAACAAAGTGAATACCAACGACCCGATTTGCTTGACCTAAATATTTCACAGGCTAACATGTTTTGTTTACAATACACTGCATAGTAAATAGTTGATCATAGGCATTTAGCGAACACGGTTTTAGTCGTATTATTTAATACGTATAATAAAATTATTAAAAGTTGTCTGTATGTACGTAGGATGGTCCCGAGAGGGAGGGGCGAAGGGGGGGGGGTGTTATATTGGGATTCTAGGGGATGTCTTTTATATACTAAATAAAACTGATTATAAATATTTTTATAAGCTAAATAGCGCTTGTCTGAATGTCACAACGGTCACAAAAAATAAATTTTACCATTTTAAAAATCTACTTTTAGATAATTAAAAACTAAGATGACTAAGTATAACGTATATAACTCGTGAAAAAAAATATAATCATCCAATAATTACTTGAAACCTTTATTAGTAATCATGTTTCTCCTGTCTCGCGTCATACGTTCAACGGGATGATATTGTTTATTTTCATAATTTTGCATATTACAAAGTTTCATATCGATTTATTTGACATTTCGAAACGTATAACAAATACCTTAGTCTCTCGAGACCATGATTGCTGTAAAGCATTAGGAAACGTCAGGAACCTAAAATAAAAAAAAACCGCAAAAAATCCGAAAGGTGAGGCTAATAAAAATTATTCAATAAAATAAAGGCTTATGTATAGTTAAACTATATACCTATAGTATCATTAAAATAAAAACTTTTTAACAAAAAAATAAAAACCGACTTCAAACAAAAGCACTAAAAAGTAAAAAATAACTGATTGGTAGTTTTCATTTACTATACATACCTAATCAAATATATTCGAAGTCGGTGTGCTTTGGCTAAGTAATTAAAGCCTACCATTTAAATACATACCTAATCAAATATTTTCGAAATCGGTGCCAGGCCATATAAAGCAAAGCACACCGACTTCGAAAATATTTGATTAGGTATGTATAGTAAATGAAAACTACCAATCAGTTATTTTTTTACTTTTTAGTGCTTTTGTTTGAAGTCGGTTTTTATTTTTTTGTTAAAAAGTTTTTATTTTTCCCTTTTTAGTGTAGACAGTAGTAGCAAAGTAAGAATTCTAACGTGTTAGGCTTGTCAAATCAAACAAAATAAGCCCAAACTCAAAGTATCT